CTCTGCCCCTGCCCAGGCCTAACGCCTCTGGCCAAGGCATTAGGCCTGGGCAGGGGACCCCCAGCTCCCCAAGGTTGCAGGCTCCGCCCCTGCCCAGGCCTAAGGCCTCTGGCTGAGGCGTACGGCCCAGGCAGCGTGGACCCGCAGCGGCAGCAACCCCATGATCGCGGGCTCCACTTTAGGCCCAGGCAAGGGACCCCTAGCCCCCGGGACTGCCAGCTTCGACCGTGCCCAGCTCCCATCGCTGGCTCCACCCCTACTTCCTGCTATCACTGGCCAGGGAGGCAAAGGCACCCAATTCTCTGATCATGGCTGGGGGCCGCCTTTGCCCTGCCCCCTGGCTCTTAGCTCCCTCCTGGGTTTCCGATCACTGTCAATGGTAGGGGGCTTCTTCCTGCTTTCCCTTTCGCCTCCCTGCATTGTGCCTACATATGCAAATTAACCACCATCTTAGTTGGCAGTTAATTTGCATATCGCCCTGATTAGCCAAAGAAAAGGGCAGCGGTCATACGCCAATTACCATGTTTCTCTTTTATTAGTGTAGATATTTAGTGGCCAGATATGACCACCTGACGTTTGTAGGCAAATCTTACGCTGAAGTTGCGAGAGGGCCAGACCATTATAAACATCTGAATAGCACAACATACTTAAGTATTGTTGCTGATCAAGTTCATCCTATCATGTTGATGGCGTATCCCAATGGAGATGGCTTCTTCCAACAAGACAATGTGCCATGCCATGGTGCTCATATTGTGCAGGAGTGGTTTCAAGAACATGAGGGAGACTTTGCCTTGCTTAGGTGGCCCCTACAATCACCAGATCTCAATCCAATTGAGCATTTGTGGGATGAAGTTAAAAGAGCCATCAGGCAACTGGTTCCACAACCATCAAATCTCAAAGAACTGGACACTGCTATTCATCAGGCATGGTGTCAGATTCCTCACATCACCTTTCAACATCTCGTGGAGTCAATGACAAGAAGAATCGCCGCAGTAATGAAGGCAAAAGGTGGCCCAACAAAGTATTGATGAGGTGGTCATAATAATCCGGCCACTCACTGTGTGTGTGTGTGTGTATCTATACATACACACATTTAATACACACACACACACATAAAATCATAGGTAAGTGAAGACAGTAAGTGGCCTTTGCCTGACACAAGGACAGTGCTTAGTAACCGCCAGCTTTTAGTGCTGTGACTCGTGCACTGGTGCGGGGCAGCCTGCGGGGATCAGCCTGCTGTAGGAGTGCCATGCACTGACCTCCAGGGGCAGCTCCTGCGTTGAGTGTCTGGTTGAATGGTCGTTCTGGTCATTCCACTGTTTGGTCGCTGGGCTTTATTACATAGGCCTAGAGGCCTGTTGCACGAAGAGATTCGTGCAATGGGCCTACCCTTCCCCTGGCTGCCAGCACCGGTTTTCCTCGGCACCTGTGGCCCAGGTCTTTGCTCCAGCTGCTTGCTGCAGCCGCAGCGGAGAAGCCAAGCCTCTTCAGCCATCAGTCTTCATTCTGCCGGAGCTGGCAGTCCTCGCTCCATGCCTACGTATGCAAATTAACTGCCATCTTTGTTGGGTTAATTTGCATACTCATCTGACTGGCTGGTGGGCATAGCGGAGTGACACCAATTTGCATGTTTCTCTTTTATTAGTGTAGATAAATTATCATTGAATTAAGATAATAGTATCTTGCAGTGTTTTTCAATCATATTCTCCTTGCTCTATGCTTATTAAAATAATAATAATAGCTACTCACTTCAATTGTCTTGGCTAGTAACTGTGTTTCAGGAAAATTATACTTGTATACTTCATTAGCAACATCGTTTACATCAATGGCAGCCACCACATGTGCAGGTATACCGCTTTCTGTAATGAGAAATGGAATATCTTAAAATGTAAAGTCCTTAACATAGATTTTTTTCATTATAGAGAAGTCAAAATAATGAATTTTATAGTACATTTCCTCAATTCTTCAATTATCTAGTTCAGTGATTTTCAACCACTGTGCCACAAAAACTTTTAAAACATGCAATACCTGGCTATTTAGTCAGGGGCACTGATTCTTTTTCTTTAGATTGTCAAATAAAAAAATGACAACAGTTAACACAATAGCTGTCCAGTGTGAATGAATCAAAATTATACCTATTTTTTTGGCAGATCGGCAAAAAATATATATTTTTGGTGTGCTGCAGAATTTTAGTAATTAGTTTATGTGTGCCATGAGATGAAAAAGGTTGAAAATTGCTGATCTAGTTGAATTTCAGATTATCAACTGACGACCAGCCCAGGTATGAAGTGGAATATTTAGGACCTCTGGTTCATCTCTCTAACAGCATTCCAAAGCTAAAAATAAGATTTACATGTTTTAGTCATTATCTCTTATATTTGCTTCCCACCCTCCATTAAGGTATATATATTTATGAGTTAAATAGAAGGTTTTCCTAAGTTAAACCAAAAATAGGCAACAGAAATATATTCTTAAAAGCCATATCACTTGGAAACTTAGATAACTATTATTTGTTCCTCACCTTCTAACATCAATACAAAGTGCTCCCAATACCACTGATAATGCTTTTCAGTAAGTTTTTTTTTTTTTTTTTAAGTAATAGGCTGATTGAGATATAACTCACATGACACAAAATTAACCCATTTAAGATTTAGGTAAGCTTTTAAATGAGATGAACAATTAATGGGCATCCAAATGTAAAAAGTTCACAGATCAAATATTAAAAATCTGAACAGAATGGGAGAGAATATAAGAAGAGTAAGGAAAATAATTACAAGGGCATACCTTCAACTGTCTTGCTGCTAAAGAAAAGCATGTTGAAAATGCTTTCAGATTCAGAAAATTCCACCATAGTCTTTAAATGGCAATCAAAATTTGAACTACTAGTATGTAAGAGTAGCTGCTGTTATATTTTGCAATTACCGTCTTCTTTGCCCTTCTTCCCCAAAACACACTATGTGTTTACCCTGTTCCAAGACAAGGGAAAAATTGAAGAGTTTTAAAAATAAAAGTATTTCAGACCTCTTAGGAAAACCATCAGAGAAAATATTACAAAAGTACATAGTAGCTTCCAATAGCTATTTCTTTACTACTCATTTGCTGTTACTAGCTTAGATAACCCAAGAATCAAAAAAAAAAAAAGGATGTGAGGAGCTAGGGTTCATGAAGTAGGCACCTATAATAAAAGCGTAATATGCTAATTAGACTGGACGACCTTCCAGATGAAGCCAGGGCTGCGAAGGAAGCCCGGGTCCCGGGTGCCAGAGGGAAGCCAGGCCGGCAGCCGGGGGAAGGAAGGCCTACTCTTGCACGAATTCCATCTAGACATAAAACACAAGATGGGGCAACAGAGAAGGCTCAGACATTTAGAAATCACAACCATACACTGAGGCCTAGAGGAGATGATGCCAGAGAGAAATAAAGGGCATGTATGTCTCTTAAGTAAATACATACTCCCTCTGTCCCATAATAATAGTAGCAGTTGATGAATGTAATTTGTCCCATAATAATAGTAGCAAAAGAAAATAAATATAGAACACAACATTTATTATCAAAAAACTAGATTAAATTAAACAATAAATTAAAAATAGTACTCCTAATTTTTATTTTGAGTGTTCAGATAGTTTTGCAGCTAACGTAATTGGACCTTTCTGCAACTTTTCCTTTTTCTTCTGATGCATCAAGAACTGGACAATCGCAACTCGATCTTTGCTTGAAAACTCTCTTTTTTTCATCTTACTTTTACAATGGGTTGATATTCAACTGAAATAAAAAAATCGATCAGCGGATGAAATTAGAAAAATAGTTATAATTCATATAATTAGATTAACCTAAAAATTGAAAGATGTGTCAAAACAAATGACAGATGTCATGAAACATTGATTTTGATTGAAGGCTTCACAATTTTGCACAACATAACTTAGAGCTGCATTCGCCAATAATTCCCGTTTAATTATTCACTAGCTACTATTATTATGGGACAGAGGGAGGACTAAATATCTACTGGGCTCAAAACACTGGGTTAGGACCAATTATCTCCTAGGTACCCTGCTGCCTTGTATACAGGTCACAGGAAACTTTGAATTCCTGTTAGTAATATCACAGGTGGCTACCTCCAATTGAGTGTAAATTAAATAACTAATTACTTGCCATAATCTAATCTAATAAAAGAGAAACATGCAAATTAACCATACCTTTGCTCCGCCCCAAGCCATGCCCACCAGCCAATCAGAGCAACTATATGCAAATTAACCCAATCAAGATGGCGGCTGGCAGCCACGGAGCTGGAGCAAGCAGGAGGCTTGATTACCCCGGCAATGGAGAAAGCCAAGCTTCCTGCCTGCAAACTATGACACACACTGACCACCAGGGGGCAGATGCTCAATACAGGAGCTGCCTCCTGGTGGTCAGTGTGCTCCCACAAGGGGAGCTCTGCTCAGCCACAAGCACAGCAGTGATGGTGGGAGCCCCTCTCGCCTCCTCAGCAGCACTAAGGATGTCTGACTGCAGCTTAGGCCTGGTCCCCGCTGGCAAGTGGACATCCCCTGAGGGCTCCTGGGCTGCCAGAGGGATGTCTGACTGCCAGTTTAGGCCTGATCCCCTGGGAGTGTGCCTAAGTCAGCAGGTGGACATCCCCTGAGTGGTCCCAGACTGCAAGAGGGCACAGGCCGGGCTGAGGGACGCCCCCCTCACCCCAGTGCAAAATTTTTGTACACTGGGCATCTAGTATAAAATAAAGATATAAACTATATCTTTGTCAAAAGCATCAGAGAGATCTTGAAACATAAATAAAAAAGGCTTTTAAACAATAAAAAAATTAGTATATAAAGATCACTTTGCAAAATCACCTATTATCATTCAGGTCAAGAACTAAGCTACTACTAACCATCATAAAAGCTCAGAATTAAATAAACTTCACTGAATAATTTGTTTTGCTAAATAAAAGATGTAATTTGCAATAAAGGCAACAAACTGAAAGTGCCTGGAGTTGGTTAATACAATTATTTAAGCAAGCAAGAATCATGCACACACGCACAAACACACACACACACACACACACAGCATTTAAACAGCAATAATGTCCCTTCTTTTTCTGATCACTCTTTCTGGAAAGATTGTGTGGAAGTGTCACTCTGCTTAGTAGTAGTGAAAAAGTACATTTCTTCTTTTCCTTCTTTACAATTTATTTTCTGATCTACACCTCATATAGGTGAGTAATTATTTGAATTACCTCCTTAAAAGCACACCTGAGACATCTAATCAGGTATGTTAACACTGACATCTAGTTGTGAAATGGACGATCAGCTGAATGCATCCAATGTCTGTTTCATTTAAAGTAATAGCTTCATTAAGAATAAAAGTACTAAGCAAAACCAGACCTGCAAGGACTCTAAATTTAAAATCATTGCCAAATATTTTATCACTATAAGCAAAGTACATTTGTTGTTTTGTTTTGAATACTTTTGCATTTCAAAAATAACAAATTATTTCTGTGAAATAAGATAAAAAGTAAGCTTTAAAAAATCTAATTTTTAATCCTTAGAAGTTTAACTAGTAGTCAACCAAAACCAATTTACTTTGGGTTCAGACATACTCAAGGGTGGGGAACATCTGGCCCGTGGGCCATATAAGGCCTCAAAATCATTTTGTCTGGCCCTGCCAAGGCATTAGGGTTGAGTTAATTAAATGCTTGACCAAATATAGCAGGCTAATTTTTAAGTTGATAATTTTGTATGGCCTGTAAATGACGTTATAAATACCCAAACGGCCTTTCCTCACCCCTGCTTTTATTGTGGCCAACCAAAATATATTTTTTAAATATATTTTTATTGATTTCAGAGATGAAGGGAGAGGGAGAGATAGAAACATTAATGAGAGAGAATCATTGATTTGCTGCCTCCAACACACCTCTTACTGGGGATCGAGCCCTACAACCCAGGCATGTGCCCTTGACCGAAATCAAAGCCAGGACCCTTCAGTCTCCAGACCAACGTTCTATCCATTGAGGTAAGCCAGCTAGGGCCCAACTCCTGCTTTTAGATCATTGTTACACAGATCTGACTAAATACAACAGCCCTTCAATCAGAAAGTGGATGGAACTGTTTGAGATTTGTATACAGTCAAGACATGGGGAAGTGAGGTGCTAAATTAATGTTTTAAAAAGGCACATCGACAGAGTTCACTTTGAAAGGAAAATAAAGATGCTATGCCAGATAATATAAAGAGAAGAGGAGGAAATGAATCTTGAAGAGGACCTTGAGAAAACAAGTTAAGCTGTAAGAAATTTTTCCAGTAAGTCTCTAGAAAAGTCCACTTAAAATGATTTTGGCATATTGAGGTAGTTAATACAGCTACTGCTTTCCCTATTTCTCTCTTTCTCTATTTCCCTCCCTTGCTTTCACTTTCTTACCATACCTTAAACTTCCCTGTGCAGAAGAAAAGCAAGAAATAAAAGCAGTTTGGTAGAGGCCGCACAATCCTGCACAGCCCTGCATCACCCTTATCCTTGGGCATGCAGGAAGCCTCAATTTCCAGGGACATATCTGGTCCCTAAAGGAAAGTTTAATAGGCAGTTGAAATTAGAGTTAACTTGAAACTCTAAAACTGCTTAGTACATCAATGATGAACTGTAATGATGAAAATGTTCTGTATCTGTGCTGTCCAATATGGTAGTCACTAGCCACGTGATTACTAAGTGCTTAAAATGCGGCTAGTGCAACTAAGGAACTGACTTTTTCATTTAATTTAATTTTAATTAATTTAAATCTCAATAGCTACGTATGGCTGTGGCTACCATACTGGGTAGCACAGCTCTCTCTGAACAGAATAGGAAGCCTTTTATAGAGTGGGTACCATGCCAAGACAGCCTATGGAGTCAGAGAACTCATGTTCAAATTCTGGATCTGACACTTAGTTATGTAGCCCCTAATCCTCAATTTCCTTATGTCCACTTAATGAAGTGGACATACAGTATTTTTCCGTGTATAAGATGCTATTTTTTTCTAAAATCGTTAGACTGAAAATCAAGGGGCGTTTTATACAAGGAAGTCAGCTGAAGAGGGAGCAGCACTTGTGCATAGCTGCCCATATCTTGTCAAACAGGCTCCCTCCAATCGAGCCTCATTGTCACTGACATCAGCTGATGCCGTAAGTGGAGGTGGAGGTGGAGAGTATGCAGATGCAACAGGGACTGGAGCATTCTGAGCCCATGAAGATGTCAAAATATAAAAAATAAATACCAGTAAGCAATTGTTTTACTCTGCAAAATTCAAACTGAATATAATCAGCTATGTAAAAGAGCATGGAAATAGAGATGCAGAGACAATTTGGACCTCCTCTCACTGAGTGTATGATCAAACAGTGGAGAAAATAGGAAGAACAACTCCTTAAGATGCCAAAAAAGAAGGCCTTAAAAGGAAAACCAACAAAACTGGCAAACTTGGAGCAGACTTGGATTATGGAGCAACACCAGAGTGGCTTATGTGTGTCAACCAAGCTTATTCAAATCAGGCAAGAATGTTTGCAAGCGAAACGAACATTGTTGATTTTACAGGAAAGACAATATGGTGCTTCAAATTCATGAGGAGAGAAGGACTGGCCATGAGAACATGAACAAAGTTAGCTCAGAAAATGCCACCAATTTATGAGGATGATCTCACATATATAGACAGTGAGTCAGAAGACAGCAGTGATACAAGTTGAAAAAATTGATATGTCTGGAACTAATAGTGATGAAGAAGAGAGCAGTGATGCAACAGAGGCTGAATAAAGTGATATGCTGCATAATATTATAGTACTGGTATACAAACATTACCTGCGGTAATCTATAAGAATAAAAGCGTAATATGCAAA